AAACAGTAAAAAATTGAAATTTTAAACCTGGAAATAAGTACTAAAATATAATGTATGACCATATATATTATATTTTTGAAGAGTATTAAATTGATCTCTAAAATTTTTAAGGTGTTTACTTGAAGAATATGTAAATTTCATAATTCTGTAGTTTACAGAAATTTTGGAGATTATCTTAAAATTATATTAAATTTTTATAAAATTGTCTATACATTTTAAGGAAGGAAATAACAATTATAGTATTGAACTTGTATAAAAATATTTCTAGAAACCATGGTTTTATGGAGGTGCTTTGTTGTCTTTTATATGACTTAAACAATGTAGTCAATGGTACTCTTGTGAAAAATAAACTTTATTACTAAAAAGTATGTTTAATTAGTTTAGAAGAATTTCAGGCCATACTATAATCACAGCAGCCTTAAACAGCATGAAAACACTATGAATAAAATTACAAAATTATTGGTGTAGAAATATGTATTAATGTATATTGAAGTTATAGAATTAACTGTTACAACCCCAGAAAATTTTAAAATGAACTTATCTTTATAACTTTAAAAGCATGATGCATTATCATCTTAGTGTAAGGATGATAAGATTTCACATAGCTGGCATTTAAAAAAATATTGACATCTGAAAACAAATGGCTGTATGTGGTGTTTATCAACTTATATTTAAAAAGTTAAATTATATGGTTTCTAACTCACATAGTCAAAATTGTTTTCATGTATCATCAATAGAGAAGTGCATGATACACTACAGCTGAAATTTTTGTACATTCACATATGACTAAGAATTAAAGTAACAATATACTAAGAAAAAATGATAATTTTTTATATTTAAAAATTTTGAACTCTTCTTCCAAGAGGCTTCAAACACTTAGTAGCCAATAATATTTTATACTTAATTTGTATTGAAATACATTTAATGCTTAAGAAGGCAAAAATATTAAATGATTATGCACTCATTTTGCTATAAGGTAGAAATTACTCCATTATCTTATGAAAAGCTTTAATAGTAGATGCAATAATCCTGAGTCATGCACTAAGAGACAGCTCTTTCCTTCATGCCCACCATAACCCCTGTAAATAGAGAATATACAAAATGTATGGAAGTTAATACATGAAACTCATCAAATGATGCTGTCTTAGAAATTGTGGCAAAATATCTCCAAAATTATGATGGAAAAATTGATTCCACAGTGCTTTAGTTGTTAAAATCATTAATATACTAGAGAGTGAGATTTGAAAGATCACGATCTTGAGAGTTCACGAGTGACTTTCCATAGTCAAGAATATCTTATATTTAAGAGGTGAAAATAAAGACAGACAGTGGATATTTCTGTTAAGAAAGCTCGACTTCTATCTTTTTGTTCTGAAACACTGAATTTTACTGTTCATACTATGATACTTTAGTTCTTTACACTTCAGTTTCATTTTTATATGTTTGGATTGGCTTTAGGCATTTACCATATTCTTAATTCCTTTTTATTGAAACTTCCTTGTATATATGTCAAAAGAATTTTATCTTGCTAGCATAAAGACTCTAAAGTCAACTCAGTATGAATCTTGTGAAATTGATTTGTAAAACACTAAGAATATATTCCTTTATAATTTATTTTCATATATCTTACTTTGATGACTTACTACATTTTACTCTATAACAGAACATTAAAATGACTTGTAGTAGTGCTACAAGAATAGGAAAATAGAGATTTTCAAGCTGGAAATTGCTCCATCAGTGAGAAGTCCCGGGCCTCCTCCCCTAGTCTCAAGGTGGCCAGTACTGAAAACACCTGTTGGAAAGACACTCTAAGATGTAACAATTAATTCTTGATAAGTCATACCTAGAAGTTATTCTTGAGAATTAATAATGATATCTACTTCTCTTTAGATTTTGTATTAACCTGTTAAATGATTCACATGGAAATTTTTCCTAAGGCAAAAATTTTAAAATATTGTTTAAACATCTATCTACCTTACCTACTATAAAATCTATGTTCTATTTCTTCAAAACCAGTGTTATACCTTTAATATGAAAAAAATATTTAATTATAGCTATGCAGTTTTATAGTTCACATTGTTGCAAATATTTTTCGTAATCTATTATACATAGACCAACTTTAATTTGAGGAACTTGATGAAAATCTAAAATGAAATTTCATCTCGCAAATCTGTTTCTACACCAGATTACATGAATGTATTTTGTATTTATAATCAGTAATACCCTTGTGCTCCAGAAGAACCTTCAGATAGTAACCTTAAAGTATTAGATGTGCATAAAATGCTGTGATGCTTAACTAAATATTCCTTTTCATTGCAGCATGAACCTTGTAAGTCATAAAGTCTGGAATCACACATCACCACATTGTAGCAGAGTATTGTAACGCAATTATGAATTTTTTTCCAATCCACTCATGGAATTTCACCTTGTACCTTATAAACAGAATACAAATGCTGAAAAATAAAGATGAATTAGACAGTCGTTGTTAGTCCAAGTGAATTTAATGGACTAAAAGACTACTTTCAAAAGTACACATGAGATTAATAATGTGTTTCCTTTGTAGGTTCTATTACATACACACACTAATGAAAGCATTTTGAATAAAATTATGGAATACTCATATGCTGTAATTTAAGCTTGTGATTTCAATACACTGTATTTGTGGCACACCAGTTTTAAAAACACAGTAATTTATTAATTTACCAAATTCTCCATAATAAGTATCATAATAAATCTGATATGTTTAAAAGGAAATTAACGTATCGTATATTTGCAAATATCTTGTGTAGGATTGAAAAAAAATAGTGGAAAAATAAACCTTATTTTAATATTTTCTATTGAGTACATTTACAGGTCTGAACCAATATGAGGAGTTGACATACTTTGAAAACATTTTTCAGACTTGAAATTAAAATTCATTTGGGGTTGGAGTATGGATTCAGATTCTAAGGACCAAAGAGGACAGTTTATCTTTTGTCTTCCTTTTAAATTGTGCATGTGTCTGTGTTTGTGTGTGCAGTTTACTGTGGTCTGAGTTTTACTGCCAGTGGGAACCAGCAGCATTAGCAACAGCAGCACCAGTAGCAGCAACATCCTTAAAGAATGACCATCATATTGGAAATAAGTGGAGGCCTCACCGTCCCTCCAAACATTCTGGATGTTTCAATCCCATACTGTTCTTCACTTGCCACATCAGAGTTACTGAGAATTCTACTGCTCCTAATTCATATTTTATAGGAAACTAAATGAGAATTCAACAGACAACACTTGAAGTGGAGAGTTAAGAATTAACCTTTTGTGCCACGTTTGTGTTACTCATGTAATAAACACAAAACTTTACAAATATGTTGCTAACAAAATGACTGCAGAAAATTTGTAAATATACATATTTTAGGGCAGGGGCTGCAGTCAGTGGTATGTGCTTAACCTGCATGCATGTGGCTCTGGGTGCAATCCCCAGCATCACACTTCCCAAAATAAAAAGTTAGCACAGCTTTCTCTGTAGAGATATTGATTATCATAAATATCAAATTTACATAGTTACAGAAAGACATCCATAGAAACCACGTTTTTTAAAGTTGGAAATTTCTTTTTTTAGTTTGTATAAATCTCAATGCTATAAAAAGTGGTAGTTACTACTATTACTGATACTTTAGCATTAAGTAGAGTCACATAGAAGGGTCTAGTTTACAAAGGCATTTTGGTATTGTAGAAAATATGCTAAACATTAATATATATAACATTTGTTATGCTAGAAAGCCAGGAAGAGCATGAAATTTTACTACTCCACTTTAACAGTAAAACCATTACCAAGTCGTGTCATTAAAAGTTATTTGCTTCTCAAAGTATAACAATATGAACACATTATTTTTCATTTACCTCAAATTAATCTGCCTCCCAAAGTGTCAGTTTTGCTATACTTCAAGCACTTCAGAGTAATTTGTAACAACCCACATTCATAATAAGTAACAATTAAGTTTTTCTGTGACACAACACAATAGTGGAAAAGAGACTAGATAGTGACCACAGTGTAGTCAATATAATCAAACTTTTCCTAAGAGTTGATGTCCATGCTTTGTCACTCATGTAGTTTTTGCATATATTAATAGTTTTAAATTATACTATATAGTATATATTAACTATCACATATATTGAAAACACACATCATGCAGAACAAATGCAGCTTGGAATCAGCTGCAACTTGTATCCTATTTTTAAAAGCATACAAAATCCTGTGACCCTTTACTACGTATCTTTAATTCTTCAGTGACTTCAACAAACCCATATAGGAAAGCACAGGTCTAAACAAATATAAACTTTACATAACTATCTGGTCACTGTCTTCAGCCTCCATTTATTCAAACTTTTGACAGCACTTTCCAGTGTAACTCTTGTTTCAAAAGCTTAAATTACACCAGAGCTCTCTGTTGCAGTTTCATCTTTAGAACTAATCAAATTTGTGTCTCTTAAAACACTTTTTAAATATAAAACTGACTTTTGGAGAAGTGAATATTTAGTTCAAGTTTATTTAAGTGCCAGAATTTTGCCTGAGTGCTACACTATATTTTAAGAACAATATTGGGAGATACATTTCTTTTGTTTTTGTATTAAAAATTTTAAAATGAAATTAAAATCTTAAGAAAATTATTTTTTTTCTAATCTGGGAACACTTATAGAATGAAATGTGGACCGCCAAATAAAATAAGGTAAGGTCTGAATCCTGAGCACTTCTAACATTTTAAAATCTATCAAAATAAAGTTTGAAATGTAACTTAAGTAAGACATGTACACTTTGTAGATTTTAGGCTGTTCATCTGGGAGGGTTTACGTGTAGAAGCTGATGTACACAGTCTCAAAAGTGTACAGCATTTTCATTTCAAATTTTTTTTTCCCTTTAACTGCTGCTGACAGCGTGGCCTATGCTGTTCCAAAGATCTCAGGACAGCTCCCAAACCAGCAATAAAGCGAATTCAGTCCCAATTATGCTAAAAGACTCCTACCTGAATTATGGACATCCGAGTGGCAGGGGTCTCGCTCGAGTTAGTCCCTTGTCCTGTGAAGCTGGTGTGGCAGCCTGCGTGTCCCTGAGGGACAGCGAGGTTGTTGGAGGCTGGTTTGAGATACATCACCTCCGACCGGGGCGAGCTGAGGGGCAGGCGGGTTTGGTAGTCGAAGTACATGGGGGAGGTGGCCAGGGAGGGACTGCTCACCACGTTCATGACGTTCACGGCGTTCCTCTCTTCGACTTCGCTCTGCACCAGCATGATATCGTTTTTGTTGATCTTCTTCTTCTTGCCTTTGCCCCCGCCCAGCTGCGGGTGGCTGTACTCCGCGATGCGGCAGTTGTAAGTGCGGATCTCCTTGTTCTCTCGCTTGCACTTGACAGCGATGGTGACCATGGCCGCCAGGAGGATGATGGAGATGGTACTCAGAGTCGCGATGAGCGGCAGGGACATGTCCCAGTGGTGCTGCTCGCCGTTCACCCGGGGCACCCCCTCGGGCAGGGAGCCGCTCACCGACCTGATGATGAGCTTGGCCACCGCGGAGAGAGTGGGCTTGCCGTGGTCAGTCACCTTCACCACCAGCTCCACGACGGGCGTCACGTCCTCCCAGAAGGGGTGCAGCGTGCGGATCTCGCCGCTGGACGGGTCGATCTCAAACAGGTGGTCATCGTTGCCGTCCACGATCTCGTAGGTGAGGCGCCCGCTCTCGCCGAAGTCGCTGTCCAGGGCGCGCACGGTGCTCACCAGGTAGCCCAGGCCGGCGTTGCGCGGGACCTGGAGCTCGGCGGTGTCGTTCTGCAAGGTGGGCAGCACGATCACCGGCGCGTTGTCGTTCACGTCTAACACGGTCACCCGCACTGTGGCGTTGCTCTCCAAGTGCGCCGGCGCCCCCGAGTCCTTCGCGAGCACCTTGAACTCAAAAGCCTTGGTCTGCTCGTAGTTAAAGGAGCGCAGGGCGTAGATGGCCCCGTTGGTGGGGTTCACAGACACGTAGGTGTAGATGGACACGTCGCCAATGTGCGAGGGCAAAATGGAGTAGGACACGGTACCGTTCTGGCCCAGGTCAGGGTCCTGGGCGAGGACGGAACCCAGGTATTCGCCTGGAATGTTATTCTCATGCACCTGCAGCACGTACAGTCCTTTGGTGAAGCGGGGAGGGTTGTCGTTCTCGTCCAGAATCTTGACTGCGAACGACTTGGTAGAGTTGAGCGGAGGCGAGCCCCCGTCCCGCGCCACGATGGTCACGTTGTACTCGTCCTGGGTCTCGCGGTCCAGCGGGCGGTCGGTCACCACCGTGTAGAAGTTGTCGTAGTTCTCTTCCAGCTTGAAGGGGACAGACCCCCCTGGCCCGCCCAGGCCGCCGCCGCCACCGCCTGTCCCTCCTCCACCCAGGACGCGACACTGCAGCTGTCCGTTCTTGCCCGAGTCCCGGTCGGTGACCCGCACCAGGGCGATGACAGTGCCGGGCGGGGCGGCCTCGCTCAGCGCCCCCTGGCGCACGGAGACGAAACCGATGGACGGCGCGTTGTCGTTTCGGTCGATGAGCTTGACTGTGACCTTGCAGTGGGCCGGGATGGGGTTAGGGCCCAGGTCTCTGGCCTGGACGTCGATCTCCAGCATCCCGTTCTCCTCATAGTCCAGGTTGCCCTTTACCCGGATCAGGCCGGTCTTCGGATCGATGGAGAAGAGCTCCCGCACGCGGTCGGGCACGTAGCTGCTGAAGGAATAGAGCACTTCGCCGTTGGGGCCCTCGTCCGCGTCGGTGGCGTTCAGATCGATGACCACGGTGCCCAGGGGAGCGTTCTCGGGCAGTTCCACCATGTAAGAGGGCGCTTCGAAGACAGGGCTGTTGTCGTTGGAGTCGATCACTTTCACGTTGATCTGCACGGTGGCGGAGCGTGGCGGCTCCCCGCCATCCAGGGCAGTCAGCACGAGCGTGTGGTGGTTCTGTTGCTCGCGGTCCAACGCCTTCTGGATGACCAGCTCTGGGAATTTGGTGCCGTCGCCGCGGGACTTGACGTCCAGGGCAAAGAGACCGTGGTCATCGCGCGTAAGCAGATAGGTGCGGAGCCCGTTCTCGCCGGCGTCCGGGTCGTGTGCGCTGGTAAGGGGAAAGCGAGTGCCCGGGGCAGCGTTCTCTGAGATGTCCATTTCAATCTGGTCAGAGGGGAAAGAGGGAGCGTTGTCGTTGATGTCCTGGATCTCTACCTTGATCATGCAGATCTCCTTGTCGTTGGCGAATACCTCGAGAGATAGCTGGCACTTGGCATTGTGGCGGCACAAGGACTCACGGTCGATGCGCTGCTTGGTGTAGAGAAGCCCGCTATCGGCGTCCACGTCCAGCAGGTGCGGCGCCGAGTTCTCCAGCACCCGGTAGCTGCCCGACTTGCTTCGCCCGCCGCTGCCCCCGCGCTCAGCCGGCGGAAGTCCTGCCTGCAGGCGAGCATCCTTGCCTATGTTACCTATCACCGTGCCGGCCCCTTGCTCCTCTGGCACTGAGTAGTTGAGGTTCTTGAGCGTCAGGGCAGGGGCCCATAGGAGAAAGCAGCAACAGATGGAAAGGTACATCCCAGACCGGTGGGGTGGGGGCAGGAACAGCCGGACTGGAGGGGCAAACCTGTGGGTGCGCGCCAGCCTGGGGCCCGGGCAGAGCGTGCGTGGGAGGCGCGAGCCACAAGTCCGCGGGTCCTTCCTCTCCTCCTCGCCGGGGCTGCGGCACAGGCGGTCTCTCCCTATTCTGTTCAAGTTCCCTGAACCTGTTGATCTACAGCATCCGCACTGGGTGAGAGGCAGCGGCGCAGCGGAGCTGCAGAGGCTTGGAGCAAGGCGGCGGCTCCCTGCGGCTGAGGGCGAGCCGGGGGCTTTGTCTCTCCCGCCTCGACTTCGCGAGGCTCAAACTTGAGCGATGAGGCCGGCGATAAGGAGGAAATCGAGTCTGAGAGGATGATAATGAGCTCAAGAATTGGTGGGTTTTTCTCGCTCCCTCTAGGGCTCCGCGAATCCACTCTCGCCGGCAGCCTACGGAATACTCTTCACATCGGGTGGGGGAGGGCTTGAGGAGGTGTGTCTCCAGGCAGATGGCAAAGTGAAATCCTTACTTATTACTGGTCTCCCCTGATGAAATTGATGGGAACGAGGAGCAACGAAGAGAGAGAGTCACAGATAAATATTTCTGAAGCTTGCTCGGCGCACTGTGAAATGTCTGCTTGCTGCGCAGGCTGGTCTGTTTTCAGGCAGTGTTTTGCTGCATTTAGAGATCTAATCTTGCATTGCTGGCTGAAGCGGCGGCGGCGGACTGCATCTCCCAGCCAAGCGTATTTTTTTTCCTTTCTCTTCTTTCCGAGCAGCCAAAGGGAGGGGAGGAAATGCGGCGCAAAGAACTAGTGTCCCGATTTGTAGTTTCCTCCCCCTATCAGGCTCCTCCCTCTCTTCCTCCGAAAAGGCTCTCCTCCGAAATCAAGAAAGCCACAGCCTGATCAGCATTTGCCGTCAGAGTCTATTGGGGCGAGGAAATATATAGATATATCTCCGCCTCTGATCGTAGAACACACTCTGATGTCTACGCCAAGCCAGTAGCCGCCGCTACCATCCCATCCTCTTCCTGCCAGCAAGGACTTCTCGCCATGCAGTTTAATTCCAGTTCGCTTTTCTTCCCAGGCTAAAGGAAATCAACAGGCAACTCATGGTTGGACGTGCACATCTGAAGGGGGAGGGGGAGACCGAATAAAAGGCAGGGGGGAGCCACCCTCCCAGTCCTCGCACACACTCTCCCTGTCTCGCTAGAAGGGAAACAGTCTCTGCATTCACAGGGCTAGGCTGTCAAGTGCCTCTATTTTCTTTCTGTTCAGCATCTCTTTCCAACAGCCCAGCCTCCCTATCCTCTTCATGTAGAAAGGAAAATCTTGGCGAGGAATAAAAGTGGTGAATATTTCAAGAGGATAAAGTGAGAATTTTTTTCCTCTTCAAAAAAAATTAATAGTAGGAGGGGGCTGGACGAGAGAAAAGCACGAAGGCTCAGCGTGGTGCATTCTGCAGTCCTACAGTCTCTGGGCGGCGCGGGGAGCGCAGGGGTGAGAAGCTGCGGTCGGTCCTGCCTGTCGCCCACCCTGGGAAGCTGCCTCCCAGAGGAGCTCAGGCACAGGGTTGTCTACACATTATTTCGGGTTCCCGAGGCGCCTGGAGATACGGGAATGACACATCCAGAAATGCAGGTGTTCTGAGCTGCCGGATGAGTCAGAAGCAGCGGAACGAATCGACTTCACTCTCGCCTCTTGGTCCTCCCTTCACAGACATTAGTTGCGGCTTCTTCCTAAAGCTTTCTCTGACTCACTCTAAAGAAAGAAAAACCAGATTCATGTTTTGTGGAAAAACGGAAAAAAAAAAAAAAAAAAAAAAAGCGAAAGGGAGTGGGGGTGGGAGGTGAAGCTGAAGCCCGCACCACTTTACTCTACCTCTTTCTGCCGGAGTCCGAGGCTCTGGGAAGCAAGGCGTCTGCTTTGCTAGGTGTGTTTATTTATTTGTTCTAAACCTTTCCTCTTGGTTAGGCGTGAGGCACCCCAAAATTTTTCAGTCTTAGAAAAAGAAAATCACGTTTCCAGTAATTATTCACAGCTTAGCCCCCATCAGATTTCAAGATTTTTCTCCCAGTGTTGTCTATTCACAAAGTCCAGCATCGTTGTGCATAGCTAATTGTGCAGTCTGCTGTGGAGGATTTTGTTTTATTTTTAAAATGCCTCCTTTACTGTCACGGGTGGTCTCTTTCAATCTGGTAGCTGTCAGGATCACCCCAAAGCCTGAGAAAGACGTGCGGATTTCAAACCAAATAAATCCATTGTCGCAAGCAAAGCGGCAGAGGAAATGAAAGGTGAAAATTTCAATTCAACAGTTGGAGTAGTGTCTCCCTAGCCGCCTTCCGCCGCTGCCGCATCCGCCGGGCTCGCAGTCCCTGTTCTCTCCCCAGCGTCTCTTGCTGACTGACTCTATTCACCTCACGCTGCCGCTTAAACATTGATACTGATTCCTTGCCAGCCAATCCGCGTGCAGAGCAAGGCCCTGCCTCCTCAGCACACGCCCAATGGGAGAGGAGAATAGGCTGAAGGAGGCGGGGCCAGGGCCCCAGCGCTTTAGAGTCATTGATTAGATCGGTTAGATGGGAAACTAACGCGCCGAACCCAGCCAGCGCTACGCCTCGGTTGCGGCGGCGCCTAGGGCCTCGCCGCCGGTCTCCCGGGTCTTTATCTGTTTGGAGAAGAGACTCCACTGTCTTCTTCCGGGAAAGAGAATTAACAAAACAAAAAGTTTAAGAGCGATTTTTAAAATTATTTTATTTTTGATCTGATATACACAGGAATCAGAATCGCAGCATGCTTGCAGAATAAGGTAGCTATGATCTTCCTAATGGATTTCCGTAGACACACACACATACACACACACACACACACACACACACACACACACACACACACACACCGCCCGCACCGTTCACCACCCATATCAAGGGAGGGGCAGATTTTGACTCTGCTTGGATGAGTCTGAATGAGATGCGGGTGTGTGTGGGTGGGTGTGCGTATGTGTGTATGTATGTGTGTGTGTGTGTCTACGCGCTGTCGCATTTTGATGCATTTCAATAAATCTGTGTGGATTCTAGGGTGCCTGTGAGCCTGCTTCGGCCCGCATTGGAGCTAACAGGCTGAGAGCAACAGCAATCAATTTGTAACTTTCTTCATCCTCAAGAAAAATCAGCTGTCCCCAGCACTCAAGCAAGGAAAGTCACTTGATTATGAAAATGTTTCAGAAGAAAAACAGATGCACATTGAAAGAAAGGCCATGTTTCCTTACAATAAAATAAACTCTCTTTAAGAAGAAAGACTTACAGTCAATACAAGCTCTGTAGTGTGTTAAAACTGAAATTTGACTAAATAATACGTCATGCCCTGTTGGTCATTTCTGCTTTCCTTCTCAGTGTAGATTCAAGGTAGACGGACATAATCTTTGATTTAATACTAATTTAAATTTTAGTTAAAAATGAATAGCCATGGACAATCACATTTGCCAAATGCTATGCATAGAAGCTGAACTGTGGAGCATGAAGTAATCTGTAAGAATTTCTCATCCCTGTTTTTAAAATAACACTTGTCTCTCTTCCTTTCTCTCTCTCTCTCTCTCTCTCTCTCTCTCTCTCTCTCTCTCTCTCTCTCACACACACACACACACACTCACAATCACAGACCAGCTCCAAATTCTTCCCCATCCAATTCAAATATTTGAAAGATTCTTTTTTCATAAATTACCACTACAATCAACTACAATTGAAGACTAATTTGTTCATGATCCTGCTGAACTGGGAAAGAGTTAAGACAAAAAAGAAAGTTGAAGTATTGTAATAGAAAAGGTGAATGTTTTGATTCCTAGAGCATTGATTGCAATTCATAAATACTGAAGTTAAGTTGCCATTTATAAATTGTGAATGAATACCGTACAATCTGAACCATGAATCATTCAAGGTTCACAGAAAATGAAATCCAGACCAATTACAAGAAAGTTCTGAAGGTTGTTGCTGGGATAATTGTTTAAATATTCAGATAAAGAAGCTATTTATTTCCTGGAGAGTTCAATGAGATAACCCATAGTTCAAATCTGCAATCTGGTTAGTATCCAAATTTATCACTCTCTAAAAAGTATAATAGTTTAAAAGTTCAGAATACTTTAGAGACCAACTTTCAAATACTAAAATGTCTTTTTTTAAATAAATAGGTAGATAGTCATCCGTACACTGTTGCTAAGTAGAGGATCTAGAACTTTGTAGAACTATGGATGGCTGCTTTGCTGAAGGATTGCTGACTTATAAAAACGCAGCATTTTATTATCATTCTGCGGTAGAACCTGTGTCCCAACATATGTATCTTGGAAGTTAAGGTTTTCAGTCTCTAAAAGTATTTGATAACATAAAGAGTAGTGATTACACATTAATTTATTATTCATTATTTTAATATGACACATTTAAAATTTTCTTGCATTACACATTAATTCCAGGAAAGTCATAAAACATTCTCGCTTCAGGTTTAGTGCCAAAAACAAGAGGGCAATCTAACAGTTTATTGAATAGTCTTAATTAGATGCATTGTTGTGTATTAGGAAAGTAGAAACACAATGTCTAAGCGGAAATACAGTGACATGAAAGTATATGCTTTTGGACATAAATTTTCTCAAAAACCCTCCAGAGTAATTATGTTACATCTCCCCCTAGTGTATGGCAAAAGAACTACCAATCGTATGGTGAATGCCACAGGGCCTCTGCCAAAGAACAGTGAAAGAGAAGTAGAGAAAATATTTTGCTTATATTTTATGTAAATGTACTATTAAATTTTGTTTTCTAAGACCTATAAGTCCTCAAAAAAATTTATATTTATCATTAAGATTCACATTTATCTTATTGTTAAAGGAACCGAATCACCTGATAGCTCACTTTCAGGGCTTTGGCTTGCTGTTTACCAGATGGAATCATCACAGTTAATGTGCCACAGCCTCCTAAGTCCTATGTTTTTTGCTTAACTAGTTTTTACATTTACAGTATGGTTATTAAAAATCATCTTTTTAACTATGTTTAATGTATTGAGCTCAATTTTAAAAAGACAGGGAGGGTATATATAGCAAAACAATTAAAAGTTCTATTGGTTTTTATATTATGGCAGGGTATAGGCACAACTTTAAATTAAGGAAATGATAAGAATTCAGTGTTGTACATGACTGATGATATATGCAGTCTCATTTTTGACCAGAAAATCTGATTGATACTCATTATTTGTAATTACAAATAACAAGTTCAAACTTGAATCTAAATTACACTATTCATTTTAAATAATACTGTCCTATAGTAAATATCTAAAGATATTGTGTGATTATTTGTAACTTATGCATGCACACTCATTAAGAGAAGGGATTTTTACTGATCTAACAGCTATCTAATTAATAAAATATACTAGTTTAGATAAGCTGTCAAGGTAAATTAAACCTTAAGTTGGAATTAATTCAAATAAAGTATTAAAGTGTCTGTTTTTTTAGAGAGCAGTATAAACAATGATTAATACAGCCATAACACTCTGCTAACTGGATTTGTTAACATTGCTATTAAGAAATAATTTTGAAAATGCTATGTTATGAATTTTTAAATAATCAAATGCCTTTATTTCCTCAGAAATATTCTTCAAAATGCATATTTACTAGCTGTTATTGTAATTCTGAGATTTTATGAATGCAGCCAAAATAGCATCAGTTATAACATCCTTCATATCTTATCCTGTCTTGTATAATCTTGGAAGTTCAATAAAATCAGCTTTTAAGAGAAATTTTTGATACTGATATGTTTTTAACAGTTACTGCATAATGAACAGTGCTTTGTTTCCGTGTTTCCTTCAATATCATTATTGTTATAATTTCACAACCTGATTTTGTATAGTTTGGTTAACTGAAAATACTTAAAATGAGTTTAACACACAGACAGGTGTTAGAAAAGTCAAAGTGCTCGCATCCCATTTAAATTCTCAAATGAATGATAGTGCTGCATTCACAGCTAATTTCTCTATTTGTTACTGCATTTCAGGTTTATTAATGACTCACTTGTAATACAACATCATTGACTATTGCTCACTTTTAATCTGAACTGGCCTCTTAAAAAACAAGCAATCTATAATATTAACAGGAAAAATTGCTAAAACTTATATCTTCTTAATAAGTATGAATTATAATAAAATGGCAAACAAACTAATATTTTAAATTTCAGGAGACATGGTAAAAATTTTTGAGTATTCAAACTGTCTTAAAGTTTTAAAAGTATAAAATTTCTCTTTATAATTTTAATATGTAAAATTGATTATTAAATTTTTACATTTGTATTAAAGTTTCAAATTTTATAGTTAGAAAATACTTTAACTCAGGTAATAATACAGTGTAATTTTCTTCTGTATTACAAATGATATGATGTTGTTACAGTATAACATATTGTGTGTCCTCCTCCCTAGCTAGTGTGTTACCAGTGAACACTCAAAATTATGGGATTAGCATAACAATGTTATGCAAGTTATATCAACCAAGAATTAATTTGTAATTCACAGAATAAATTAACTGAATTTAAAAGTTGTGAGTCAGAAACAAATACTAATAAGTTAATAACAAGTGATCTACTCTTGAACAGTGAAATGTATTTCAGGAAAAACATGAAATATAGGGATACATTTAAAATTTAATTTAAGATTTTTATATTGAAGTTTTACAATAAAAAGTTATTTAGATTTTAAAACAAAATGTGCTTGTATATTTGTAGATTACAGAGTAAAGGGAATTGTCAAAGAAAATGTTAACACCACATCATATATGTTAACATATGTTAAAAAGAGGAATTCGATAGTCTGTAAAATGTAACTGTGAGAAAATTTTCTTATCTTAATAAACTGTAGATGTCGTATTTATAGTCTCTCGGTATTTGTCATCCAAAAATAAAAAGGTTCAGATAATTATACCAAGTCAGTCTCCTGCCCCATTACACGTTGCATGCTGTCTCCCCCTTGTGGTCACTCGGCCAGCACGAACATTCGGGGACAGTAGTAGGGAATTTCACTACATTAAAAAAAAAAAAAAAATCTGTTTAATCTTTATTCATTACTACTTAAAACAAACAAGAGCTTATGAATGAAATAGTTAATTTATAGATGTGACTTCTGAGTCTCTAAAATGCAATAGCTGAAGCTGAGAGCAGGGTTAATATGATTTCATGTATACTTCAGCAATTTCTCTCCCTCTCTCTCTCACTTTTCTCTCTCTCTCTCTCAAGCATTTAAGCATTTTAGGACAGTGCTAAGCCTGGATACCAGTCCTTGGAGGGGACCCTGGAAATCTGATTCAGTAGGTGGCACTCTTTCCTCAGAGTCAGTTTTATAATGATGGCCCAAAATAATGCTTCAAATAGCTGTGTCACAGGAGGTCC